ATATGTATATATTTCATTCAGTTGTGTCCTATTCTTGGAGACTGCAGCTTTCTTGGGAAGGGTTTTTTGAAGTATTTTGCCATTGCCTCTTTTCTAGGGCTGAGAGAAAGTGAGTGGCCCAAGGTCACCTAGCTGGCTTTGATAGTAGAACTCCCAGATTCCCAATGCCTATATTACTACCTTCTAAATTATTCACCTGCCATCTATCATATCTCTTCTATTTGAGGTCAGTCCTAGGAATCTCCCATTTGTCCATTGAAGATTGGGTATTACTTATGGAGAGTCTCTAAGCCCTTTATCAGAAACACCTGGCATGAGCATTGGAATGTCTAGTAATTAGTATTGTTAAATTTTGAACCTGAACCTGTGATTTTATATTTTAATCTAGATATGAAGTTGAGAAACTGTAGCTGAATGGCAGAATGCCTTCATAAAGCCCTAGATTGAAGGGTGGATCTTCGTTAAATGTTTTCAGAGCTACTTCCAAGTTAGCAGAACATTAATTAGACTCTGCAAAAAGTTGCACTTCAACATCTACAAAACTGCAGAAAGTCATGTATTTATTTATAGCTAAGTTTAGATGCTGCCCCCTCCAAGAGCTCCCAGCAACTTACAAAAGTACACATTTAACAGATGATTCTAAATGGTTTCTAAACTTGTAAAACAAGGGTTAAATTCAGAAGTTTAAAATTACTCAAAAAGTTATAGATGAAAGCCAGTTTAATGCAGACATTAAGGAATCAGGCAAAAACTGTTTAAATCTTGTCCTGCCTTACGCATGAAGCTAGCTGGGTGAACATGGAGCAGACCCCTCTCTCATCCCTAGGAAGGAGGCAATTCTGAAATCTTGCCAAGAGAACTGCAGTTAACAGGAGTCAACATTGACTTGAAAGCACCAAAAGATAGAAGGGTTTTAAGCCCCTTCCTCAGGACTAATAGGAATGGTGACTGCAATATATTCCATTGTATGACCTTCTCTTAGGCAAAACAAATTTGCTGTTGATGTATTTGTGGTGAGACCCATAAAAAAAACTGCCCCATAGAGTCTGCCTCTCATTTTAAGGATTGACAGGCAGTCTGTTTGGCCCTATGCCATGAGGAAGAGGGATAGGAACAATACTAACGGGTAGAAATATATACTGATTTATAGTTTACAGAAGAATAGTTCTGGTTGAATTTAGAGTAGGCGAACTGGTAGTGCATGTCTGTGGTCAGGTTGGGTATGTGTTCCATAGACATTAAGTAAAGATTTGGGGGATTTTTTTTTCTTTTCAAAGTCTTACTCTTTCCCTTTTTCATATTTCTGCTTACCCTTTCTCTCTCCCCAATTCTGCTCTTTTCTCCTGCAAATGCTTTCCACCCAGCAGTCCCCTTTTGTGTTTTGCTCTTTTGTTGTCCTTCCTGGTTAGTTTTGATTTCTGATTTTCCTTTTGAGGGGCAATGTCGCTGGCACCAAAAGTTTAAGGGAGGGTGGGGAGGACCCTGCACACCTCAAACTGTTCAGATGCTGTCAGGAGGGGGAGACCCAGGGGAGACCTCCCCCAGCAAACCCCACACGCTCTCTGCCTTGATGTGACTCCAAAGCGGGAGGGGCTGGTGTTTGTTGGGCTGGCGGGAAGATTGGGGAGGGTGGGAGATGGACAGTTGAAGAAAAAAAATGGTTACTTTAGGGTGGGGGGCAGAAACAAAAGGAATTTAATCTCTTTTCTCTTTTTTTTCCTTCTTGCACCTTTTTTTTCAATATATTTTTTCTTCTCTCCCTTCGATGCATAAAGTAGAAGTGGAACAGAAAGGTAAACAACAACATTACCACTGACCCCACCCCTAACCCAGCACCTTGTTTTTTTTCTCTGTGGCCATATTTAATGTGACCTTCCTTTCCCTCTTCTCCCTGCCCCTTCTTCTCCTAACCTCCCACCTGCCCTCCCCTTGGCTTCCCTTCCTCTTCTTTCTTTGGTCTCACTAATTCCAATTGGCATCCTCTTTAGAAACAAATCTGCCAATCACTAAACAGCCACTCAGCAAATAAAGGAGGTAAAGCCATCATCTAACAACAGCCCTGCCAAACGTTCCATGTTTCCGTGCTCACATGTGGAGGGGAAGCACCATGAATGCTTGGGCGATGCCTGTCCTTCTCTGGTTTTGCTTCCTTCAGGGGAAATACACTTTTCCAAATCGTTCTTGCCTGCGTCTTTTATCATTCAACTGATTTTCTCTGCTCCTTTCTTCATGTTTCCATGGCAACCAACTGGGTACCTTGGCCTACCTCAACCACTTTTCTTTCTTTCTTTCTTTCTTTCTTTCTTTCTTTCTTTCTTTCTTTCTTTCTTTTTCTTTCTTTCTCTTTCTTTCTTTCTTTCTTTCTTTCTTTCTTTCTTTCTTAAAATGCTTACAATTTTTTGAAATTACAAAAGAACAATACGTGTTTTTTGTTTTTATTTAATCCTCCTGCTTTTATTTCAATTTGGACATTTCCAAATACTTCTTCCAGGGCTTCCTGTGTATTTTTTAAAAAGTCTTTACATGCATACATTGATCATTGTTACCATTATGGAAGCTATTTGGTTTTAGACATTCAACAAGATCCCAGAAGATATGCATACCTTTTGATCCTATATTCAGCAAAAGTAGATGCCCTGCAATCAATGGGGCCTTTTTTTCCTTCTCCCAAGCTACATGTTCAGCCTCAAAGTGTTCTCTTGAAATGATAGGGTGGGGTTTTTTTTTATCCACTATTGGGTGTAATAGGGATATTCTTTTGAGCTTACACATTGGAGCCTTCCCCCAACTTCCAGAAGTGTGGATTGATAGTTCCCTGACCATGGCGACTGCAGATGATGAGAACTGTGGTTTAGACAGGATGCCACCAGTTGGGGAAGTCTACAATTGATAGTATACTTCCTAAGGAATAGATGCTCATGCTAAGTGGCATCATCCTAAGCAAGGATAAACTCAGCCTTTGCCATGCTCTGGCAAGCAAAGTGAATCGTGTGGCTAAAGCTGAGCATTAATGACTTCATTTGTAATCCATCCTTCAGTGGAAATTTCACTCAAAGTTTGTACAGTTCTTTGATCAGAATTCCCAAGCTGTATCTCAAATTGAGTTTACTTTCCTTGCGAATATACTCAGAGTTGACTTGAAAAGCCTTTTTCTCTTTTTGGTGAGCTCTACCTATCAAGATGACATGGAAATTAGATAAGCCCAAAGTAAGAATATGCATGCAGTCAATTATTCTGATATAGTAACCACTTCAATGTGGGCATTTTTAATTTTTGTACATCTTTCTTTCTTTCTTTCTTTCTTTCTTTCTTTCTTTCTTTCTTTCTTTCTCTCTCTCTCTCTCTCTCTCTCTCTTTCTCTCTTTTTCTTTCTTTCTTTCCTTCCTTCTTTCCTTCCTTCCTTCTTTCCTTCCTTTCTTTTTTCTTAATTCCTGATCAAATCCTGGGTGATTTTGTGTTTTTTAAAAAATTCTTTTCCATTTCTGCTTTTTTTTTTAATTTAAAGAAAGCTGCAGTCATGATCATTGGCTCTGTCTGTTATTGGGGGAAGATGGGGATGGTGCATGAAGGAAGGGGATCACTAAATGTGTCATATTGGCTAGATTTATTAACCTAATGTAAGAATCTGAAATCACAATTGCAATGAGCCTCTTTGAACAAGAGACAAGCTATCAAGTTAGATCTAGGAATTCAACCAATTAATTGCAAGATAGTACAACTAAAAAGCCAGGCTTGATTCTACCCAAACCATGTCTTTCTTTTCTCCCCCTCTCCCCTCTCTTTCTCTCTGTTTAGTTCTAAAAGCACGTTTTTTCCCCCCACTACATTGGTTTGGAATTTTTCCCCAAGTTTGGGGATGGAGGCATATACTTATACTTTTCTTTTCCACAGGTTTCCATGGTTTTTGGATGTGGTTTTTCACTGATGGTTTCCTTCTCTGTTTCTGACATCTTCTCCCCCAACCCCAGAACACAGTTGCCCCCATCCCGAATTAGAAGGCTGAGTCGGCACTACCCCATCCATGAGGGATCGGAACCAGTTAACGCTTTGTGCTGCCCCTCCCTCTCCAGCGCTTCATTCTTTAATGGTGTGTTTCTCCTCCCTGTGCCAGGAGTCATCCATCCCACCCCACCAACCCAGATGGGAAACTGGGCTGAACTGAACCTGTGAAGGTCCAGGAAACGCTTCGGGGCAAGGTTGCCAAGCAAGTGTTCAGAGCAGGGAGGCAAGATTAGAGTCCTGAAATTCTTTGCCTCTTGCCCACCTCTTCCCTGTCCCCATCCTATCCCATCTCAGGTTCCTTAGCTTCAAAATGGGGGACAAGAAACTGAAAATGGCAGAGATGTTCAAGTAAAACAAACCACCGTTCAGGTCAAATTATATTGCAGCCGACATCTCCAGTCTGATGGGTGAAAATAAAAAACGGAGGCAGCACATTCACTTGCAGGTAGTCCTCAACCTACGACCGCAACTGAACTCAAAATTTCTGTTTCTAAGCAAAACAGTTGTTAAGTGAGTTGCACATTCCATTTTATACCTTTTTTGCCATAGTTGTTAAGAAAATTACTGCAGTTGTTAAAGTTAGTAACACGGTTGTTAAGTGGATCTGGCTTCCCCAATGACTATGCTTGTCAGAAAATTGCAAAGGATGATCACATGATCCCGAGACATTGCAACTGTCATAAATACATGCCAGTTGCCAAGCATCCAAATTTTGATCACATGATCATGGGGATGCTGCAATAGACATACGTATGAAAAACGGTCATAAGTCATTTATTCAGTGCCGTTGTAACTTTAGTCACTAAATGAATGATTGCAAGTTGAAGACCACCTGAAGATACCTACATAACCAGAGGCATATAGACAGTTTTACATTAAGTACAATATAGTTGGATGCGTTTGAGTGTGTGTTTGTCTGAATGTTTTGCATATATGTAAAAATACACATGTGCAAACAAATATCTTACACAAATGCACAAGAAACACAAACCATAAGCTTCATTAAATTGGAAGTATACTTTTAAATATGATCCAGCTGTTCTTATAAAGCATCAATAGATATAAGGATGTTCATCCATCTCCGTGAGTGCTCTATAGAAAAGCATCAAACTGTAAATCATGACATTCGTAGTAGTTCCTGGTCTTGAGACTCCTCTTTATCTTCAAGTTTGTAGTGTCCTTACTTGGGTTTAGCTGCATGTTTTGAAGAAGCAGGATCAGAGAATGGCTCCAGGCAATCTGCCCATTTCCAACCCTATAATTGATAGCCTTATTTGAAAGAAAGGAAAAACACAACGTTCAATGCATGACAGAATAGTGACACAATATTTAGATAGTTACATGTAGACCAGCCAACCATTCCTAGCTTGGTTCAGAACAACGGCAAATGAAGTTTAGCACATCTGGATACTGTTGAATTAGATAAGGCTGGTTAGGAATTGCTAGGCTAAAGGCAGCTTTCCTTTGAATTATCACTTAGAAGGAAACTCTATAGACAAGGTTATTCATAAAGTTCCATTAATAAGTACCAAGAGGATTTCAAGTGCTGGTCTAGTCAATAGACATGACATTTGGAGCTCACAGGTTCAGACTCTGGCTTTTCACCTATGACTTCTTTTCCAATTATGAACTATTTCCCTGACACATGACCATCATTTTGCAGGGAAAGTTGGTTGGATTTGGGCATGATATAACATGGGTCCCTGGCCACATGATTTCTTTTATCTTCTGGGGATGTAAGTGGGGGAGGAAATTCTCCAGCTTGGGAAATCCAACATGGCCCTTCCCAATAATAAACAAAGAAACAATTTCCTTACCAAAAGAGAAAAGTCCATAGTAAATATTAGAGGAAATTATCATGATCAGTGAGTGATAACTTTAACAAGTCCTACACCTTGCTATGGAATCCCCTCTATGGCTAACATTCATTTCTAGACTTATTTTACAACAGGAGCAATGTAGGCAGTTATTTTTTACATTATGCTCCAGGGTTTTGGTGGGGTTTTTTTTCCTGACATGAATGCCAAAAAAAATCAATAATATTTCTGGGAATAAAAGTGATCTTTGTTTGAAACATATAAAAAGTGTTTTGTGGAATACAGGTATCATCAATATGAAAGTAAAAATTGTGTTCAGCCAAACTGATGCAACACCGACATGGTCCTGAGAACTAAGTCTTGAAACCCATGTCATTAAATGCAAAACCTCGAAATTGTCATAATTTACACTTTTGTGAGTCTTGAATAAGTTTGCTCTTGACTTTAGAGGGACTCACTATGACAAAGTTTGAAAATCATGGATTAGACAGAGATAGATAGCTAATACGAGGAACATCATGCAGTGCTATAAAATCCAACTGCTTCCCATTAAGCGGTTCTTGTCTGGTGATTCACAACAGAAAACACTACAGGGATCTTTAACAGACCTTGTCATTAACATCTAGGCTAGTTGGCTTCTCTCCTCCTTGACTCATTGCCATACAGTGGTAAACCCATTTGTCACTTTGCATTTCCACTGCACTATAGATCAAATAATAGCTCTTTCGTTGCATGCAAGAAGACTAAGTAGATGATCTTCAAACACCTGGTAGACAATAACGGAGACAAAATAAGTTATTTTTCTTCGTAATTAAAAGTGAATAGGCAAATTGCAAGTGGTCTTCCTTGGCCTGCTATATCAATGCAATCTTTGCACGAGCCGCTTAGAGAATTTAAAAAGTTAAAATGTATATACACTGTGGATCTCTAGCTGGCACATTATAGCTGTAATATGAAATGTAACTTCTAAATAACCATTATCTCTCTCAGCCTGGTTCCTTGAGAACTATTTCCAGTTCTCAAGGAAAGAATGATGTTTACTAGTTAGGTTTATAGTAGCCAGCATCCTTATTTTTCACAGGGGATGGACAACATGTGGGCCGTATGTGGCTACTCCAACCTCATTTTTCCTTCCCTTAGAGCCCCCAAGGTCATAACACTGAATTTCATCAGCGTTTTTTTTACAGTAGGGGAAGGGGCAAAATAGATACGTTGACCCTCCAGGGGAAAAAATAACACCTTTATTGGGCATTAAAAGACATCGTCAACTCTAATAAAGCCTGTTTCTTTCATTCTTCAAAATCAGGCTGAACATTTCTGGTGTCATCACAGTGTTATTGGTCATAGTCCTTGCAGCCTTCATAGACAAAATAATAATAAAAGTATGGTCCCTAAATCAGAAAAGTCCTGGCTCAGCCCTCTTCTAAATTCATTATTACTCACTGTGAATACCTCTTTTCCATTCCATGTACTAGTTCTCCAAATAAGCTCAGGAGGCAGAATTTGCCAGCAGCTAGAATGGCAGAATATTTATTAATCAGAATTATTTATTATTTACTAAGGATGCAGCACAACATCACCATGGAGACCCAAACACCGTGAATAAGAGTGAACTCACCAGGTTGCTGACTCAGCCCTGCTTGCTCCCTCTGGAGTTAACCAGAGATTGTGACCATTGAAAACAACAGTCCATCACACTCTTAAGCTCATATCTTAAGATCCCGTTGATTTTGAGGAAATTCAAAATCCTGTTGATTTTGAGGAAATTTAAACTTTTTAAACTATGGCATAGTGTGTGCTCAGAATCCCAACCTAATCTCCTTTATGCAAAAATGGATATGAAATGCATTTCTGTCCATTTGCACTGAAGCTCTGCCTGAGTCTGGAAAATCAGGGGAGGGGTATTTGTCAATATTTATGAGAGCTGGCATTGACAAAAATGCTATTTTCCTCCTTGACTGATGCCAGTCTCCTTCCTGGATTATTTGCCAATCATTTCTAAGGCTGTTGGTGTATCTCATCTACTTCCAAGTGTGTGGTGGTATGGTTTGATGTGGAATCTAAGTTATGCCCAACTCCAATAAGACTTGCTATATCTGGAGTGTTGTGGCATTTCATAGCAACTGTGCAGGTATAATAATGGGAGAGCAGAGAATTCACTACTGTATCCACAAAAACTATTGCGAGACATTTTAGGGCTGCTATAACAAAGTCCAAATGCCATCAAGACTGTAGAGTGCGAAAAAAACCTTTTACAGTGGAAACTATAAGCTAGCACCCAGCAGTAACTGGGTTGCTGACAATCCAGTTTCCCCTAGCCGTGTACTAATATGTCAATACTTGTACACCAGAGCAATATAGTTCTGGGTCTTCTTAATGAAAACATCTTACAGCCTTTAAGCCCTACAATTTGCATTTGATTTGGCTGCTCCAATGTCTTCTCTATAGCTGCTTAGTAACACTGTGCTATAATGGACAGGTGAATTCTCTGCTGCGATCCTGCTCTCCTCACTCCACTCCACCCCTCCTTCCACCACTAAATGCTTTTCTTTCCTCCCAGCCTTGCTCCAGCTAACCAGAGGCAGATACTTGCAGAATGCTGGCCTGTTTTTGTCTTCCTTTCAAACTTTTTCCTCCTGGCTTTTCCCAAGACTGCGGGCGGCCAATCGGGGTGTGGGTGAAAGGGAGGGGCTTCCTTTCCCCCCTGCCCAGCCTCCTTTTTCCCCCCACTGTCACTTCACTCCTCCACCTCCTGCCATGTGCACTAGCCTCATGTCCTTTGCTGCTTCGAATCAAACCTGGCTGATAAGTTGCTCGAATGGCGCCCAGGATATGGGAAGCAGAAGCTTTGGGTAATTGCATCCTTCTGCTATGATTCTGTAAGCTCTTATTTCCAGAAGGGAGACAGTCCCTGTGCTAATCTGCAGCTCTCTGTCCCCAGGGTTTAAAAGTAGTCTGTTTCAGAGGAAGAGGAAACACCCTGTCTTTTATATTCAGTGGGCTTCTAAGCAGCCAAGCTTTGGATTATTTTGTGCTTGTTTTTCTTTTCCCATTGCCCATTCAATAATGTTTAATAATGGTAGAATATTTCAGGCTGGCAGGCCCTCATTCTTTTTCCATTAGAAGGCATTTCCTCAGAACTGTTTGGAAGACAGTGATAAGATGTAGAAGAACATTTCTTGGAGGGCGTGAGATAAAAGAGTCTGAAGCAATGGAAGTTTGAAACCTGGGCTCCTAATTTCTGCTTCTAAATGCATGATTACTTTCTGTTTTAGGAACTGCACTGAGCTAACTTGCAGCTCTGATATTCTAGCTAATTACTGCAACCCCAAGGAAAAGAAAGACCACTAATAATTGCCTTTGTAGATGCAGAAATGGGTCCAGTTTCTTTCTGCCTCATTATTATTGATGGTTATGCCAACGTAAAACTGGGCTTTAGGTGCAGCATGATGACGGGTGTAGATTAATCTTGGTCAATGGAGCTGGTGAAGCAAATTCCTTTTATGAGTGCTATAATCCTTTGATCAGTGTACTTCAAGATTTAATGGAACCAATATGTTATAAGTTTCCAATAAAGTAAAACAAAAAGGTGTCCTTCCTCTAGAAATACCCATAGGTCCATCAGTCCTATAAACCCAACAACACTATTCAATGCATTCCTTAGTGCCGCAATTCCATACTTAATTTCAAAGATGTGATGTGGAAGCTTTAACTTCCATACCATTAGATGTATCCCCTAGGTATCTCCGGTGGAGAAGATTTGTGAGGTCTAGCTCATTGTAATTGCTTTTCCAGAGCTTTTAACTCTTCTGACCTCCATAGAATGAGTAAAGCATATGGTCAGGGAATAGGGGTTGTAGCTCTAAGTCCACCAGTACTCCTGTTCATATTTCTGAGTTATCCAAATGATATTACTTAGAACTTGGCAGGGAAACAATTTGACATTCCTTGCTAAATTTCAAAGTACAGCAAAGTGAGGGAGGATGGTTTGGAATCCTTATATTCCCATTTTAATTTGATCTGGACAAAGTGTTGATTTCCTCTGATGCTCCCCACCTATCCCTCCCATTATTTAACATCACTGAGCCATCTCAGCTCAATAACAGATAAAAGTGTCATGATTGCAGCTGCTCTGAAAACTCAGCGCGGATTTCACTTCTCCTGCCAACAACCTTTTACAAATTTATCCTCTCTCTCTCTCTCTCTCTCTCTCTTTCTTTCTCTCTCTTTCTTTTTTCCTTGTTCTGTCACATTCTTTCTGAATTTTCACCCTTCCCCTTTTACCCAAACATCCTTTCCTCCCTTACATCCCCTCCCTAGTATTCGTTTGCCCAGGGACGCTGCACAAGATCCTGGAACCTACCTCGGCCCATGAATCAGAGCACCAGTCTGGAGCTTGGTGCAAGGATCCTCTTCAAGCTGGAGACCGAATATATGTCATGCCTTGGATCCCATACAGGACAGACACCCTGACAGAGTATGCTTCATGGGAAGACTATGTAAGTGCCCGACATACCACCACATATCGCTTACCCAACAGAGTCGATGGCACCGGCTTTGTGGTGTACGATGGAGCAGTCTTCTACAATAAAGAGCGGACACGCAACATTATCAAGTATGATCTGCGGACACGGATTAAAAGTGGAGAAACAGTTATCAATACAGCCAACTATCATGACACTTCACCCTACCGCTGGGGTGGCAAGACTGACATTGACCTGGCTGTTGATGAAAATGGGCTATGGGTCATTTATGCCACTGAAAGCAACAATGGACGGTTAGTGGTAAGCCAGCTCAATCCTTATACTCTACGCTTTGAAGGCACATGGGAAACTGGCTATGACAAACGCTCAGCATCCAATGCTTTCATGGTGTGTGGAGTCCTCTATGTGGTACGGACAGTCTATGTGGATGACGACAGTGAAGCCGCAGGGAACCGTGTTGACTATGCCTTCAATACTAACATGAATCGTGAAGAACCGATCTCTCTGACCTTTCCTAATCCTTACCAGTTCATCTCTTCCATTGACTATAACCCCCGTGATAATCAGCTTTATGTATGGAATAATTATTTTGTTCTGCGTTACTCTCTTGAGTTTGGTCCACCTGATCCTAGCACTGGTGAGCTATCATCCTAAAATAAAAGTTTGGGTGGGGAAGAAAAAGGAGTGGTCAATGTTTGGAAATTATGAATGCTAGATTTTTCTTCCAATTTTCACAGTATTGATAAAAAATATTTGGGGACAAAAATAATGAGTCAACTTGCAGAGATGTGACTTCCTTAATTGTACAATTTGGCACACAGACTGTATGAAATTATCTTTTAAAAATAGATTCTTTAATATGTATTTTATACCAACTTTCTTTAAATCAGTGCCTTCCAGCTGGGTTGGACCACTAGAATTATTTTGTGCATTTTGGCTGAAAATTCTGGGATTTGTAGGCTAACGCATCTGGAGAGCATCAGGTTACAGAAGATTTTTTACACTAAATCTCATATATCACCAGTCCCCAGTTGCATATGAATTAGGATTGCTATCTTTTGACTTGAGCTAAATATCTTTAGACAGCTATCTCTTGACTTGAGCTAAATTAGATAAAACAAACATATATTTTGCATATTCTACAAGCGATCGCAGGTTTTTCAGGCAACTCAGCTCCTATTTGATGTGAAGGACCATAATCACATTTCAAGAAATATTCGAGCATGTATAGGCAATATCACCTTAAAAAGAAAGGCTTACATTTTTGCACTGACATCTAAAATATCTTTAATTTTGCTACTTGCTGCAAGCAATTCTTCAGGCTCCAGTCAAATAGTAAGTATTGGAAAGTTTATTCACCTCAATTCAAACTCACTGTGACCCCAACAGAGTCAGCATGTGCCTGAAGTTCTGACAGTTAACATCACATGGAGTTTAAATTGAGAGATGGATTGTCTGATGTTCAGTATTTGGCAGAAGCCTAGAGGCTACAAAAAACAATTCCTTAAAGTTGGGCAGAAGGAGAAAAATTCAGTCTATTTTTGAATAAAAGAGGTTCAAGATTAGTCATGCTCTGGTATAGGGCCAGATTAAGATCTGTTTATCCCAATATATCACTAATTTGTTTTTCATACATTCTCCATTCATCCTGGTGGCACAGCTTCTGTCTGAATGGCATTTGAAACTGAGCATTTCCACAATTAATATCCCCATGCTGTGGCTAGATGAATGGGATTTACCCTGAGTGAGAATAACGGATCAGTTGTATCTGGAGTCATGCACATATTTTTAGAAGGGATGGGATAGAATGAAACTTACCTTTACTTAAATTAGCACTAAATGCTACAGTTTGCTATATTTTAAAATTAAAAATGATTTCAGTGTGAAAACATGGCTTGTATTTCATATTCCTAAGAAAGATCTGACAGAAGATGTCATAAATGGTATATGGGCTAAGGGGATACAAGGAAGATGATGCAGATTAACCATTTTAGATATACTGAAATTAAAAAAGTAATATAACT